GGGGGTTGAACTAAGAGGACAATGGCCAAAACAGTGCCTCAAACTCAACAGAAAGTTGATTATAGGAATTGGAAATTAGATAACGAGCCCAGCTGACCAATTAAAGACAAGTGGAACTGCTCTTTAGACAAAAAATTATACACCAGAGCTATGCATATGATTTTCCTTTTCTTAAGGAAACCCTACATTCATGCTAGAAAATACAAAGTCTTTCCGTAGTTCTAGACTGAAGCTCTGTGGTATTTAGGAGACTGGAGCTGCAAAAAACATCAACCTGTCTACTGCCATCTCCAGCTGCAGCACTGGTGGAGTAAACTGCCACTAGTCCCCAAAAGATGCCATCATGGATTGCTGATTTACTGAACGTCTGCACAAACCAGCTCTGCAGCATCAAGGGAGAAGGTGCAAGAAGCCTGGGGAAGGAAAACCCTCAACACGTTCAGGTTTTCTTGTACCAAAGTCTCCGCTGAGGTATTGACAGGCAGGGAGATTATGGAGATTTTTCAACCCAGCGAGCAGGTTAAATGTCCACACCAGGGAGAGATGATAGCACAGTCGTGTTTGTGGTTTGCATACTGCGTTTCACAGCATGTGATGTTTGCACAAAGAGTACCCAGAAGAGAGTGCATTATTGGCCACTGAATTGGAAACACACGGCTACAGTGGAAAGATGCTGTGTGAGTATCTGGTGTGCAACAGTTGCCCTTGACATTCTCCAAACCCCTTCAGTGCTGCAGCTTTGCAAAGAAAAGGGGGGCAGCAAGTTGCTCATAAACCACAGCCTCATTTCACACCGGAAAGGCTGTATGCTATAGTCTCAACACTATTTTTTCCCCTCCGTTTGAAACAGAAGTTTGTGATTTGCCACTACATTTTGAAATCTCCATTAAAAGTTTCCATTCCTCCTTACGAAAGGGATCCTTCAAAGGTTAACAACAGGAAGAATTGGCAATGCTGAAGCAAACACCATCTGGCATCACATCCTGAGTTATCACTAACTGATCCTTCACAGGGATCAAGCAGCACCTGCTCATCATCAGCAACGCTGCATCATTGCTTAGCAATGGGAAGTCCTTCTGAACCACTACAAGGAGATGCCATGGGCATCAGACACAATGGACCCCATAGAGCATGGTCATTTTGATGCTATTTTTGCATCTACCAACCCTCACAGCACAACTCCCATGTCCTGAGATGTCCTCCTGCTGCCAGTCACACAGCACTGTGAGACATCCATGCCATGTCTGATACTACTGACACTATGAAGCTGAAGAGTTTCTTACCACTATGCGAAAGTCACTGGTCCTTCCACAAAATGACTAAGAAATCAACTGTATCTGAAACTCAGCACCTCCTCCAGCTCTGACACCCCAAGCTCCCTCTCATTTCTCATGTCTTCCCTGTTAAATGGATGTAAGGAAGCACAGAGAAAATTAATCCTAAACTCACCGCCTGCAGAGCCCCATCCGATTCCAGATCCTTGTCAGTCTGTCTCTTCCCTGTGTGGTTTTGTTTTTTCTCTCCTTGCTCCTGTCTCCTTCTGTTTAATTGTTTGACATTAATTAAATACAGACCTAAGCTTGCCTTAGTATATAAAGATAAACCTCAGTCGTAAGCAACTTCGGTTGGAGTTCAGCAGCAATCAGAGCCCTGCAACCTTAGCTATGAGTAAAATGAAACTTACTGGTAGGTTTGGGAGAAAAAAGAAATTACCTTTACTGCCTAACCAACCTGGCTGGTCTCTTGACACCTCTTACTCAATGCAAGTGGTTGTCTGATTTTTTTCTTCCTTAGTCATATCATCACTGTGGCACGACAGCAGAAATTGTTAATAAAACTTGTTATTAATGCTGGTGTTTCACTGATTGGACTTATGTCCTCAGACTAACAATGACAAGTCTATGGCGGAATATCATCTAGAGGACAAACTGTTGAACCACAGTACGCTGAAGTCAAAGGGATTTCTTAATTAATCGCATTAACCACCTACCCCTCCCAGTTTTGGAGTTGGTCGCCAGTGTAAAACATACATATAATGATCTGAATTATTTATACAAGCGTCGATTTAAAATTAAAGCTTTTCCTGGAGGTCCTGTTTATGCCTGGAGCTTTTCATAATCAAATAATTGCCATTACATTTGTTTTAGTTGTTTTGCCATGCAAAACAGAAACAACTTTGTTCTAAGCAATACCTAAACACAGAAGCCAGAAAAATATGATCCTTGCTGCAGCTACTTTATTATGTAGAAGACATAAGATGGGGGCATAGGAAGGGGCTGGTTCTGTCTGATGGCACACAGACGTCTCTGACGGAGCTACACTTCCTTGGTTCCATCTCTGGCCAACGAAGGGTGTCCACGCTGAAAAGAGATGCCGGCTTGCAGCTGTATCACCCCACCGACAAAAAGCTTTTGTCTTGCCTTAAAAGGATATCTTCGTTAGCAGTTTATTGCAGGCAGCAGAAAGGAATAACTCCCCCTGAAGCCATCTGCTGTGGCTCCCCAACATCCCCCTTGTCCGGCACAAGGGACAAGCATCAAAAGGGACAGAGGCGAGTGGTATCTTTCGTGTAGTGGTGAGTCACAAAGTGCTTCAGTAAATAAAAGTACAAGGAGGAAACGGAGACCTCCGAACGGTGATGCAGAGCCTCGGGTCTGAATGTGACACAGGAAACGGTGGCCTTGTATGGAAGGCAGCTCAATCCGTGAGCCCCTTGTCCGGCACAAGGGACAAGCATCAAAAGGGACAGAGGCGAGTGGTATCTTTCGTGTAGTGGTGAGTCACAAAGTGCTTCAGTAAATAAAAGTACAAGGAGGAAACGGAGACCTCCGAACGGTGATGCAGAGCCTCGGGTCTGAATGTGACACAGGAAACGGTGGCCTTGTATGGAAGGCAGCTCAATCCGTGAGCCACGAGGACCAAGATGAAGGACACCTCTACATCCTGGCAGAACCTCTGGGCTCCAGTTTGGTACCCGGGACTGATTCATAATGAAATTTACTGTTATTCAGAGACAAGAGAGAAGCAAGATGTCCCTACCAAGAAAGTCAATAGCCCTTGATGGATGATCCTTTAACCATATAGGTTCTCCCAGCACATCCATCACCACGCCCCTGAGGACATGCACTACATGCTACAGGTAAGTGTCCACACACTACGGCAGAGTGAGAACCTAGTCCTGACAAATGTTCGGTCCCCCCACCCGTGTTTGCCAGCACGCTTGTTTCCATTCAAACCATGCTGAAGCGTGGGAATTAGAAATTTTCCTACTTTGGCCCCAAGGGAGTTATGCTTTTGAAAATGCTTTTGAAATTTCATTTTCTGACACTGAGTTGTGATAATGATGGAAGCAGGGGGGGCACTCACACAATAGTCCCGATGGATGCGATGGCAGGAACCAGCTCACTTCAGAACCCCAGAGAACATGAGACTCAACTTTCGTCATCTACAAGGCACGTCCACGGTTTCAGTTCCTTGCCTACGTTCCTCCATCAGCCCATGAAGACAGCTGCTTCCCAAGAGCAGCTTATCCCATTAAAAAGGGAGGATTAATTCTACTTAGGATAAGGAGAATAAACTGCCCACTGACACCAGAAGAAGCCTAAGCAAGTAGCATCACTTGATGTCTCATCTGGAGACGGTTGGAGAACCTCGGAAGAACCTCAAGCCTGATGTTCACATTTGCTTGATGAGATTTTGAGATCCAGATCCTTGTAACGTTGTTTAATTAAAAAAACTATTTTCTCCTTATTTTGCCAAAATCTGCTCTATTTCAGGTAGACATCACAAGTGTCATAGCCTCATGAAAGTACAAATTCCACACATCTCAACAGGCCTAACAGCATCTTCCTTCACTCACCAACACGCTTTGATGCCCAGCAAAATAAACCCAGCTCCTAAACCCTTTTCCATAACTCATCTCCAAGTAGCAGCCACAATAGCAATGGCATCGAAGTGAGCAGCACCTGGGTTCTGACGTACGTGGGAAAACGGGGCTTTCTTTGCAAGGGAGCAACAGAAAAACACTTTGCACAGCAAAATAATCAACAGGAAAACAAGGAAGCGCCAAACAAAGAAACAAATAGTACAGCAGCCCATCACCTCGCAGTCTGGTGAAGCTGTTGCTGTCGTTCGTGCAAAGTTCCAGGAAACATCGCCCGTACCCATGTGCAAGTGGTCACCCCTCTCCGTTGAAGCATGCATGGGTTTTTTTGGCAGGGCGGAAGCCGCCGTGGGTAGAGAAGAAAACCACAAGATGTTAAAAAAAAAAAAAAAAAAAAAGGCATACCCCTGGGGCATGGGGTTTTTCTGGGTGGGTTTCAGATCGCAGACCACCTGCCTCGCACAAAGCAGGTTTTGCAGAACAATTGCAAAGAAGAGTTGCAAAGAGAACAATCGAACACCTGAAGGACTCAGCTGCGTGTCAGCAATACACGTGCTCGGAGTAAAAAAATATGCATGGATACATGCCATGAAACACCCCTGCCTTGCTTGCTGGGTAATAACACACGGTGTGCTCTGCCATCCGCGCAAGACCCCTTGCACGTGGGCAAGCGAAGGCTACAGAATCCCTGCCAAGAAACGCAACCTGGGGCCTGCAGCCAAAGCACGGGGCTTGTCCGTGACTTACGCGGAGCTGGAGCTGCGGTGAGCCCCCAGGGAGCTGGGAGACAGCAGGCAGCGGTGGCTGCTCCCACCTCTGCCATGAGCATCATCAGTCTGAATCTCTAGGGAAGTCATCAAGGCAAAATCCTTGAGGCGCCATTAAGAACCGATAACGATAACTGAGCCCAAATTCTGGATTAGAACTGAATTTCTTCAGAAATCTTTTTTTTTTTTCCCTTCATTTTGCCGCAGATGCCGAACATCACCTCTTTACCCAACGGAGTCCTGATGACATCACATCCTCTCCAAAGAGCGACACAGCCTCCTAAGTCAAGCAAGAAAGATCACCTCTGCTCTGCTGCACCGTCCCCAAGGACAGCCACCCCTAGGAGAAGATGGCTGGATCTCCTGTGCTCCTCCTTCTGCTTGCTCTGGGACTCTGTGAGTATGGACACAGGGTTGTGCATCACCTTCACTGGCAGGGGCAAGTAAACCCCTTCCACTGAATCCAAGGAATTGGGCTAAATAGTTCAAGGGGAAAAAAAAGCAAACCAAAAAGGCTGACTTTGAGGTTTGCTCAGTAATTGCGGAGGTGAAGGTGGCATCACCTCAGCCAGAGGGGTGGCTGCAGCATCATATGCACCAGGAAGGGAGTCTGGTCTGGGGAGTGGTTCTGGATGAGAGAGGGAAGGGGAGAAAAAGGGGATTTAGCAGTCAATAGTTTCAGAGAGTCACTTCAGATAAGCTGGGAAGGAGTACCATCCCTGAGAAGGCAGCTGAAAGGCTTTTCTGAAGGGCAGCACCCATCTTCAAGCCTGGGTGGCTGATTGCTGAGCACCCTCCACACATGATCCCAGCAAGGACTCCAGTAAAACCTTCAAGTCATCCAGACAGCATGGTCAACCTTTGCATTTGACCTCACACCCCATGGACAGAGAACGAGGTTTGCCCAGAGGGAATGTGGCTCTTCCCAAGTGGTTCCCACAAGGATTTCTCTCCCGCAGGCTGCCCTGGGATCTGGGGCCACAGTTACCAGATGACAGCCAAGTTCCGTGACCACAGCCTCACGCACCCCCGGGTGGGACACCAGCTGGAGCTGGAGTGTCAGGGTGCCAAGGAGGACAGTGGCGTATTCTGGATCCGCCTGGACAAGGATGGGATCCTTCACTTCATTGTCTTCATTTCCTCCCTGTCCCGGACCACCTTCGAGAGGAACGAGAAGTCATCCACACGCTTCGGGGCGAGAAAAGACGGCAGGTCCTACCGGCTGGTAGTGAATTCTTTCTCAGCGCAGGACGAGGGGAACTATTTCTGCCTCATGAACAGCAACCAAATGCTGTACTTCAGCTCAGGCCAGCCTGCCTTCTTCCCAGGTCAGCAACACCACCCAACCTTGCTTAGCTCTGCCAAAACGTCCAGCACCCCCTGCCCATGCTTTTTTTAATCAATTGCCTTGCCCACAAACTCCATTTCCCTGCTTGCTTGCCCACGGCATCTTGTGACCAACACACTCATCCTCCTGCCAGAGGCTCTCTGCTTGTCCTTTCTTCTCGTGGTATCACCCCTGTCCAAAGGCAAAGAGGAACGGGCAGATGCAGCATCACCTCCCCATTCCCACATCCCATTCATGACTCTGAAGGGATAAGACTAAAGCAAGGTCCACCACCACCCCCTCCTTCCTCATCTCGCATAGGTCCCAAAAATCCTACCAGCCTTAGGGTACTCAGGCTTTCTGAGGATAGTGGCAGAACACAAGAAATAGGGAACCTGCAGCTCCTTATCAGGTCTCAGGAGACCCTCTTTGGGGGAGTCACCACGCAAAATGGGCTCTATAAAGTTCCCCTGGTGCTGAGCCCTACGCTGGCCACAGCCGTGCCCTGACAGGAGTGGGAGAGCAGAAGGGCAGGAGAGCTATTTTATTGTATTTCCCTATATGCTGTATTCATCCCTTTTCGTTTATAGTCACCACCACAGCGGCACCCACCACAGCGGCAGCCACCACCCAGTCTGGCATCACCAGAAAGGACCCTTGCCTGAACACCTCGGATTCAGGTAGCCTAGCTGCAGGGAGGGAGAGGGGAAGAGCTGAGCTCTGGTCCACTGATACCGAGGGGGATCCTGAAGGCATTTTGTGATGGGGGGAGAGGGAAAATCCTTAGAGCTTTATCAGAGTGGGATACCTGGGTATGCGCAGCTGGCAGGGCTAAACTCCAATGTTTCATCCCATTCAGGAAAGGCTAAGGGTGACTTTAAAAGCACGAGCATGTCTCAGGTCTGGGCACAGTGGGAAGAGGTGGGGGGAGGGCACAGCCTTGGGGGCTGATGCTGGTTTCAGCCTTGGCAGGGGACACAAGAAGACTTTTGGCTATGTGTCCTCCCTCAAGTCCCCAGGAAAACACCGAGAGCAGCAGCACTAACGGGGGCCCATGGTGCACTTGCAGACAGCCCTGGTGGGCCAGGGGAAGCCCTATGCTTCACCTCCAGCCTCACCAAACACCAGGCAGGTCCCTTGGCTCCACCAGAGCTGTCCACAACACCAACCATGAGCACCTGGTGGACCTTTTCTCCTCTCTATTCCTGCAGAGACCAGCAAGAAGAGCGAGCCGAATTTCTTCTGTAACATCTTCATCTGGGTTCCCTTGGCAGGTGCCTGCCTCCTGCTCCTCCTCGCCCTGATAGTCACCATCATTCTGTGTCAACGTAAGGCTCACCTATAACCCCCCATAGATAATCCTCTAGCCTGAAACCATAGCCCTGTCCTTCAGGGGAATGGATCTTCCATCTAGCTATCCCCTTTCCATAGACATCAGATAACAAGGACACGGTCAACCCAAGAGAAGGACCACTGTTAAAATCAATGTCTGTATTTTCCTGAGCAGTATCAACTTGGAATCATAGAATCAGAGAATTATTTAGGTTGGAAAAGGCCTCTAAGGAAGAAAAATAGATCATAAAGAGAAAAAACTTACTCTGTCAAACTGTATTGGCTCTACTGTCCTTAAATCGGTGTATCAGAGGGTAAAAGTACCAGAACCTGAAAGTTTGACAAAACAGGGTAAACGTGCTCCAGCACAGAGCTTGCAAATTCAAATGCTGAGACTCCCATTAGCAGCTTGAGCTGTAACCAAACGAGCAACTTAATTACACGGGTTCAGAGACTGCTACGGTTAAAGCAGTAATGCAAATCTCTGGGTAGGCAAAAGTATTTTGGTGAAATTTCATGTTTGAAATGTCTTTAAATTACCCTGAGCAAGTGAGTGCAAATGTATTGAAATCAATTTAACGCTCGCTGAAATCAGTTTAACTTTCCTTTGGGGAGTGCCCCGACATCCCCAGAAGTTACACCAATGTCATTAAACCGGCTCAGCCCGTTTGCCTGGAACACCAAAGTGTTTTGCTGCTGAATTAACCTAACCAAATCCTCACTGACCCCACAGCCTGGAGCTGATGCGAGATGAATTTACTAGCTGACTTATTTTAACAAAAAAAGTACAATTTTTCAGCATCCTTCAGCCCTGAAAAATATTCATCGCTACAGTCTGCAGCGACAGAAAGGAATACATGAAAAAAAAAAAACAACAAACCACTGATGGGCCACAGCCAAAAATCATTCTTCTCCAGGGAAATAGCTGATGATGAAGCAGAGCACCTGGAGTCAGTCCAAATTCCCTCTGAAGTCACCAGGAGCCCTCCATGTGCACTAGGATTCTCTGGTGACCGGCAGCATGGTTAACCTACAAACACCACTCAGTGATTTATTTCTGCCTTTTAATGCTGATGTGAATGATGAGTGAAAAGCCATTAGCTGCGATTAATTTGTGCAGCAGGCAGCCCGAACCCTCAAGGACAGGTTTTTACCTTGTGCCAAAACGAACGGCTCGACATTGTGTTTCACCGAAACCAGAACGACGTAGATGCTAAAATGGGGAAGAGAATTGTTCAACTTGCTTGTACGCTGCAAGGCATCATTGCCACTCGCCTGTCGTAGAAATTAATTGCTGCCAATGGATTTTCGGCAACATGGCAAAGTTGCAGGACTAATAATAATAAGTAATAAGTAATAATAATAATAATAATTATTATTATTATTCATTGTCAGTGTTCCCAGGATGACTCTGCTACCGTTACTCACATGAAATTTAATTCATGAAAATACTGAAGTGGACTGCCAGGGAAACGGGAGCTGCAGGACCACTCACTTGCATGGCTTTCCTCAAAAATAAGCTTGGTTTATCCATTGTTAGTCTTAACGATAGAAGCTGTTAGGGAATGCAGCCCTACCCTGCTGCAGCGTTTCCCTACCGAGCTGCGACTCTGTAGCTTTGAACTAAAACGTTCTCTTTTTTATTTTAGAAACCAGAAGACGAAGATGCAGATGTAAAAGGTTAGTAAGTAACAGGTGTTGGCATTTTTCTCTTAAACTTGGCAGCCTCTCGCCCTCAAGTGATAAAGCGGGCAGGTGCCAAAAAACGACCAAAAAATTCATCTGACACACTGTGGATGGGGACTGTGTAATGAATTAAGGGCAAAAAAAGAGAAAGAAGATTCTCTTCTCCTGGGCTTGATTTTTTAAAATTAAGTAATTCAAATCACTGCAGTAGGTTCTAAACAGAAAAACAGGAGCTGTTTGTGGCAGCCTAAAAACTTTGTGCATCACCTGTGGCTTAAAAATAACATCATACTTGTGTGCTCCCAATGCACGACGCCAACTTGAGCCCAGGGACGGCTGTGTTTCATCCCTTCCCCTCCCCAAACTGTTCATCTGATGTCATCACTAGACCTTCAGGTTGTGCCCATGGCTTAGATGCAAGTTACTGCATCCCAAATCCCCCTCTGCACAATTCTGGACCAACTTGACCACGGTTTTATGCCTCCAATTTCCCAACAGGCATTAAGTAACAGTAGCGCAGAGGCTGATGGTATGCGCAGCTTTAGAGTTAACCTGTTTTCTAGGGCAGACAGGAACCTTTTTTTTTTTTTTTATAATGCTTTCCCTCTTGCCTCCCCAACCCACCCATCATCCTGAGTCACCAGGAAAACACTATCGGAATAAGAATTGCGGTTCACCAGTTTGGAAGAATCCCTTTTGCCCGCGAGTAACGCGCGTTTCACTTCTGCAAACCAACCTCCCTGCGGCCGGTTTCTTCCCCTCGTCTGCTCTGCAGAAAACCACTTGTGCAGTTTTGCAAAACTCGTGTCCCTCGGGCTTGTGGCGAGAGCCCGCTCTGGCACTGATGTCCCTGCCGCTGTTCCGGCCGGACCAGCGCTGGGCAAGCACTTGGAAAAGCTGGGTTGCAAGAAAGTTTGGAACAGTATTTTCACACCTCTGGAGCCTTATCCTTTGCATCTTTAAAATCAGAGAAATACAAACTCCTTGTTATACAGGCATGGCTTTCATAGTAAAGAGGTTAATAGGTTTTCAGTTGTCCAAATTAATGGGATCACTCAGAAAGAACCTCCCTCCTCCGCCATTAACAGCAAATGGATCCCGACAATTTACTTCTTTAAAGGCAGAAGCATCAGAAATCAGTGCCTGAATAATAACAGTGATTAAGAGAAGAGGCACCGAGTGGCAATGCCTTCTGCCCTTCGGGTGTAATCTTTCTGTGTGTACATCACAACACAGCCCGACAGACCTGCATTTTCTTTAACCTGTCTGAAAAAGGGAACAGCCTGTCATTTTTAAGACGGATATTTATTATATCCAGCGCTCTTCTGATCCTCCAAGGGCTAAATGACAACGAAGAGCTCTTCTTGCAGCCTTGTTTAGGACCGTGCTTGCGTTCCTCACTTATCTCAATCTCTGTTACCAGCCCGGTGCAAAGATGTTCTGTCCCTAAGGGGAAAAACACACTGCAGAGCTCCAGGAAATCATCTCATCAAGGACAGCTTTCCTTCGGCAGCGCAAACATAACAGAGTCCTGGTTTTAGCAATTGTAACATATTTAAGCTTTTATTTAGAGACGAAAT